AAGCAGGAAGGTCGCGCACGAAGTTGCCGGACTAAGTCGCAGTTCTGAAGAATGATTACTACTCTACAATGAACTGGCCGAAAAGCTTTCTTTTGTACTGAGAACAAAAAAAAACGAAAGATGTCAAGAGAAGACTATTTTGACAGAAGATACTTTGACTTCTTGAAAATTGTAACATTAATTAATTCTAAATTTTTAGTATCTAATTTTACATAATATAATATATTTTTATACCCATTTAATAAGTATATTTTTTATTTACATTATTTAGTACAAGTGAAACAAAATTTAAATGTTGAAAAAACACACTACAGTTTACTGCAGCGCCATCTGCTGAGTTGTTCATGTAATACCTATCTAAGAATATGCACTAAAAATATATAAATCCATCAATGAAAACCTCTTCAAAATCGGACCAGTAGTTTGGGAGATATTTGGTAGGTAACATAGGTTTGCACAAACACACAAACACACATTCTCTCACCCCAAACGCATATATCGTCTCTGTTCTGTCGTGGGTAAAAAAACGCCATTAAGATCCTAAACGGTAAACTGCGGATTTAGTTTCCTTCCAAAAAAGCTTTACTTTGACAAAGATACATTTGCTATCGGGCGAATCTTGCTTCCATCGGATCGGAAAGTCGAAACATTCAACTTTTTCGACCTATGTTCCTTGGGTAAAGTTGTTCCTTACCACCAACCCCACCTGGATATCGCTATCAGTCACTAGTAAAATTTCATCCTTATACCTACGCAACGCATTAAGCAGGAACACCAAGGTTCATCTTCCCACTCTCATTAGAAGAAGAATGATAATCAATGTAATATGAAAACATTGCGCCCACATTTTTATATTTTAGTCAATCATCATGTTTTGTTTTGCTAACGCAAGAATTTTTAGCATTTAAAACGCAAAAAGTAAAGTCTGTGGTAAAGTTTAATTATTTTGTTTTATATAATTATGACAAGTATATACGGTTTGGTCCTCCCCTCGGGCCGGAACGGGACGGAAGATGCTCGAAGGTCCTCCCATACTAAGTGACACACTTTTTCAACATTTTTGTATAGGAGATCCAATTTTTTTTTTCATATTTCGAAGAAAAGTTTCTTACAAAAGTTGTCCAGTTTTGTGAGTAGATTTGACTCAAGAGATTTGTACTTAATTAAATGTAACCGTATATAATATTATGTAACTGGAATAATTTAGGCTTTATTTATTTCGAACAAATAATTTCAATTACCTTAAACTAATACTTGGTACCTACTTCTAATGCTCTTGGATTTTATTAAATCTACTATCACCAGCAAACCGACCTACCCATTTAAGGGACCAACTTATTATGGTTTTGCATACAAATACTAAGAAAAACCAGAATATGTTGATCCCCTAATTTTCTGGCGGTATTACGGCTTAGCATGCACTTCTGGTTCATCAAAAGCCATACTTCAATCTTCTAAGCTAAGCGGCACCAAACTACCAGTAGTATGCAAAGAATCTACTGGCGAAATTCGGTGTACATTGCATAGCCGGTTAGCCATTATGATCCTTTTATTAAACCAGCTACGCAATGAACATCAAATTCAGCCTGTAGAATGTAGTCTGTAAAATCGGATACATACAGCTAGCGACGCTCACGTTTCGCCCCTTTGATTCGCTTCGGTTGCATTTCTAACTTTGTTTCGGATAATTCATTAGCCCGCGGCGGAATCGACGACTCGTTTTTCAAAATACATTTTTATGATGGATCGCATTGGGAAGTGGGTAAGATTTGAGACAGTTTCGGGTTTGGAAAAAAAACGTAATAATTCATCACGCAGGTTGAACGTGTAGCACGTGTTTTTGCCTTTTTTTGTGAGGTCGTGTGATTTAGTATGGCGCCACTTATTGAAAGTTATTGCTAAGTTTATGGTTATGAATGAAATGAATATTCATGAATGGATTTCCAGAGGATTTGCGTAAAGTGTTGAGCCATAGCGCACGCTAGCTTTCAACATGTTATTGCTGTGTATTTGGTTGGTATTCGGCTACGCATTGTTATTTGACATGACAGCCACATATTCAATTCAATTCAGATTTCCTGCAATGCAAACCAAAATTGCGATGTTAGTATTTGTATTAGTTCCAGTTATTCGCAAAACTATGCGAACGCGGCATGATGTGTGACCGCTCCAGTTAGTTTAAGGCGAGAAACACATGTGACGTCCTTTTGTGCGTTATTTTTGAGCTGCGTAATGCATGCGTTAGATCAGAATTCAGAACGCATTTCGACCTTATTCTCATACAAATAGTTTATTTCAAACCGTTTTCATATAAACAATAACCGTATTCGTATGAGAACAAATTGGAGAATCGCATTTTCCTAATGCGAACATTATCGCACAGACGGACGTTAGGTACTTGTATGTTACTCGCCTACGACGTACATACTCGTACCTACTTATAAGAATCCATATTTTGCAGTATAATCTTTTTTGTCTATTCCAATTGGACAGTGTTTCCTGTGCCTTGCTACTGAATTACCGGCATCTCAATAGTGTTAATAAGGTATATTTTGTGTCTAAAGTCCATAATTTAGAAACCTTAAACGCCGGGTAGTGGGACAGGCGACAAAACTGACAAATTTTTACACGCAATGTCAGAGGAGGTCGTCAGAAGGACGACGGCTAGGACATATTTTGACCATACGATGTGTAAAAAATCAATCCCAAATAATTTACTGCGCAAATTAGTCTTTAAAACTTTAGGTAGGCACACAAGGAACATAGGTCGAAATATGAAAAAGATATTGTTCCTCCCATACAAATTGACCAGTCGGATGGTAGATTTTGTATGGGAGAAAGTTTTGTTTACAACACTAAAACACATTCAGACCACAAATTAGGCGGACGGCGCGCGGCGCCGTTACAAATGGCTCACACAGACGTTTAGGTTCCTAGGTACTGGAATAAACTGGAAACTCAGAGGAACTCAAGGTAGAAGCAGAACAAGATGGTGCCTGCCTGGATGGTTCATTTTCTTAGACTGGTACACCCCATTGAATATTTGCTGTTGCTTTTGTGCACCTTACCTATACTTTAAGTATCTAGCTTGATACTACTGGGTGCTAAATCAACCAACTAGACCGCAGACAAACGCTACTCGTATGGATGAAATTAACTGATAATGTTTAGTATCGTTAGCAACAGGGCTTTTTCGATAGGTACCAAATATATAATGAAATTTTACTAGTGACTGATAGCAAAAACTCAGAACCTGCTGGTGATAAGGAACAACTTTCCCCAAGGAACATTTGCCGAAATATGAAAAATAAATTCGGGCCTCCCATAGTACATAGTAGGGTTTTCTACCCGGGTACCCGGGTCCGGGTATACCCGGGTATTTCAGACTTTTAGTACCCGGGTATAAACGACGCGTGTACCCGGGTACCCAAGAAAAAGAGACAAATAGACTAATTTAATACAATTAAAAGAGAGAAAAGATAAAAGGATACTGTTATATTTTTAACAATATTATTTGTTTTAACAAATTAATTTTATATATCGGCAAGCCCATGCAGGCTTGATTATTTAGACTTGTATATAATTTTATTAACTAAAGTAGGTATTTGTAGTTTGGTCAAAAACTACGTGTACGATAACAAGCATTCTTTCAACTTTGGAAAGTTAGGTTATCTACTTGTCCTGGAGTTCTATAGAGTAGCTTCTTTTTACCACCGAGAATTATCTCATTTCCCGTGAAAACTGTTAGAAGCGAGTGAAATCGACAGTAATGAAGTAAGACTGATGAAAGTATTTATGTACCTATTGATTTGTCTTTTCTTTGTTATTTTGTTTGTCGTAAATTAATAAATTATTCCAAATTATTGAATCTGAATGTTAGGTGCATGTAGTATCTTTTATCTGAAAAGTTGCTGTTTTAAAAAGCGGCAACTTCTAAATCTATTTTCTCAATTATCTAACCATTTTCACTTACAAAAGTAATACCCGGGTATCCGGGTATACCCGGGTATTTGAAAAAATCGTACCCGATACCCGGGTATCTGAATTGGTCGGGTATTCGAAAACCCTAGTACATAGCAATTTTGTACGAGTGGTCCAAAATTATTTTTTATATTTCGACTTAGGTATGTTCCTTGGGGATAGTTATTCCTTATCACGAGCCGGTTCTGAGTTATCACTATCGGTCACCAGTAAAATTTCACCTTGTATAGTTGTTAAAATTAAAAATGTGTTTTTCTAAAAGGTGGAATTTTACTATACTGCTGTTATCCGCTCCGTGCAGACTCGGTCGGTAAAAAAATATAAATCCTCGGCCTATAAAAAATCTAATATCGATAAGAGTTTTGGATAGCAATAGTACACAACCCAGAGTATTGCTGCGGATAAGAGTTATCAATATTAGACTTTTTATAGGCCGAGGATTTATATAAATTTACTCACCGAGTCTGCACGGAGCGGATAACAGCAGTATAGTGACCGAGAGGGAAAACTCAGAACCGGCGGGTGATTAGAAACACCTTTCGGTTCTGAGTTTTCGGTCACTAGTAAAATTTCACCCTATATCGACGATCAACAAGGTAGGTATAACTTGGCCGTAATACCTAGTACTTACAATACCTATGATTCCTCTACAACAAAAATACTCCGTCTAATAAAAGCTGTAGGAACGGACGGAACCCATCACCCACCACAAAAAAACGAAGAATTATTTTTCCAAGTCATGAGGAAAGACCGTCTTATTGAACTAGTCATTTCACAGACGAAGAAAACACACATAATTATAGTTCGACGTAATTCGACAGTGTTTCTTTTTGTCAGAGTTCTGTCGGCCTCGAATTATATCCGAATTAAATTATTTGAAGGAGCCATGATTGTAGGCCGGGTGGTGACGGTGCAGTTTTGCAGGGCAGGACTATTCTGGGGCCGAATACTCGATTCAATACCAAATTTTAAAACACTTCGGTTAGGTATACAATTTTTGGAAAACTTGCAAAATTAGAACCGCGGTAGCCCAGTGGCGTCGGCAGTACAGATGCTGAAGGTCGCAGGTTCAAATCCTGCCTGCGGTGGAAAATTTTGCAAGTTTCCCAAAAACAAATCGTTTAAGTTGAGTGACGATGGCATGTCAGTTGGATGGTTTTGGTATTCTCTTAGTTTGCTAACAGAGTTTAGTATAGAAAATCACAGTGGCAAAAAAATTACAGTTGAATTTCGCTGGCATCACAATGGCAAATAATTTGGAGACTAGTGAGATCAGCTTTAGTTCATAAAAAATTTGTTCTACTTTTTCATACAGTGTGAATTACTTACTTAGTAAATATACGTTACTATATGATGAAGAGCAGATTTTTTTTATTTAGTTGTAACTAGCATAGATAGGTATTATACTTGCACATAAGATCCTTTGACTCAAAGAAGTCTTAAAATAAAACTATAGTCAAATTCTTATTAAGGTTGTACAACAGTTTCAGAATAATCCTCAAGCAAGTCGGGTGCATGAAAGGCTGTCTGGCAGCTGGACAGACAGCCACTTGTGCGAGTCTCGTCTGAATATGGCGCCTTTGCCCTACCGACACATATGCTATTGACCATCTTTAGACTTTAGTCAACTTCGATTGACTAGGAATGTGAAAAATGTTGGTCCTCACCCGCAAAATGTGCCTGCCAGCCAACCAAGTCATAATGTATGTACCTATGTAGGTTGCAGGTCTAAATTAATTTTTCATGTTTTGACCTATGTACCATTGGGCAAGTTGTTCCTTGTCACCACCAGCCTATCGCTCACCAATGGGAGCGTGCATTTGGCTGCAGCAAAAAGGGTTCTACGGTACCTCAAGGGTACTGCCGATTACACCCTTCGGTATCGGTGAACTGGGAAGCCCCTTATAGCCTACGCTGATGCCGACTGGGGGGGGAGATTCGGATGGGCACTCGTTTACAGGATACGCGCTCGCCATTTCTTGGCAAGCTCGAAACTTCACCCTACATAAAAGCGCTGCGGTATTCACTCGAACTGTAAATTGTTTAAATTGAGATAAAATTACGCTCTGCCTACCCCATAATGGATATAGGTGTTTCTGAATGCATGCATTTATGTGCTTTATTATTTTACAATCAAAGGCCCAAAGGACTTGATTAAAAAAATGTTTCGGTACAAATTCCACGTTTTAATTCCTAAGCATTATATGAATTTAATAATGTTAACCGACTGATTTCCCGTTATAAATTATTGATACATAGAACAGAAAGCATTATTTGAAGGTTTGGAATTTTAATAATGCAGCATAGCAATAACCAGGAATACAATTATGAATTTGGGAATAGCGCTTTAGTAAATTCTTCGTAAATTGTGTATCAATTTAATAATGCAATTATTACAATCACTTGCATTCCTTGTTTATTTCAATGCCCGGTTTTTAAAGTTGGCTTCACTTCAATTACGTGTTTCATTATTTGTAAATAATTAGGAAGGTACTCTGTGAGCGACCATGTCATGATTATAGTTCATTCAAAATCATATTGTCATGACCAGCCTAAGCGGGAGACCAAGTTACGATGGTCGCGTAGTATCTAAGTACACCGACCAGCGTAACTTGGCTTGGCCTCCCGGTTAGACTGGTCATGTCATTTCATGACATTATGATTGCAAAAGCTGATCGCGATTGAAAGGAGGTTGATTTAATTTTTACCAGTTTTTACCAGCTGAATTCTAAATTTCATGATCTCATGATAACCAGATCAAAAGGTATAAAGACACCAAGATGGTGCCCCTCCAGGGAGACATTGTAATATCCCTTCAGGAAGCCAGCGTGGTGCACCAGATACCAGATAGCTGTTAGATCTCTTATATTCGTGGTCCTTTTTCGCCTTTATTTAACCAGCTAAATTCTAAATTTCTCCCTTTTTTACCTTGGTCATAATAACCAGATCAAAAGGTATAAAGACACCAGAAGATGGTGCCCCTCCAGGACAGAGACATCGTAATATCCCTTCAGGGAGCTAGCGTGGCGGTTCAGCTGCAAGCACAAATATAAGAGATGGGATTCAAGACACCAGATTGCTGTTCGATTTCTTATATTCGTGGTCCTTTTTCGCATTTATTTTACCAGCTAAATTCAAAATTTCTCCCCTTTTTACCTTGGTCAAGAATGATAACCAGATCATCAGAAGATGATGCCCCTGTAGGAAGACATCGTAATACCCCTTCAGGGAGCCAGGGTGGCGGTTCAGCTGGCCTGCAAGCACTAATATAAGAGATGGAATTCAACCAGATTTGTCCTGTCTAGTACAGACAGATTTGTCTGTACTAGACAGGACAAATCTGTGCTGTCTAGTACAGACACTATAAATCTATTATCTGTACAAAAAAACATACAACAGTGCGGTTCTATGATTTATTGACAATAGAAAAGTTTGTATGACGCCACTTCGTGACGTCACACTAAATCATAGATCTATTGCTGGCCAGGTCCTCGACAGGCATCATCAGGCAAGGAAGTGTTTTCCTTTAACAACCTTCGGTATTAGCGTCTAACCAGATGGACCCACAGGTCATGCAAATCTGCGAGGCATCGATCGTATTTCTGAATACATTGAGAACAACGGCCTAAAAGTCGGCATTAAACCATGAATAAACTCACATTAAAGGATGCCAACTAAACTAGCTTAGCACCTTAATGAAAAAAAAAAATAAGAAAAGCTGCACACATGAAAACGTGTCTAACGCGTTCAAGAGATGTACAGGGTGTGAACAAATTATGGTTATCTATTTCCTAATAGCATAGGGACATTCGTTGACATGTTCTCCCAGCTAGGGAGTAAATGAGCTCTATCACCCACGAACAATCTCTATTAGGTTGTCGTGTTACCTAGGTCGTAAGAGGCACCGGCACTCAAGGAACCGAGGTAACCGCAGGTGTAACTTAGTAGCTAGAACTTCTTTTAATTCCTTTAAAAAAAAGGGAAGAAGTAACAGCCCTGAAGTCAAAGAAGTTCTGAAGCCTGGCAAGCTCCGAAGCCTCAAGTACTGAAGTTCTGCAGTCTGTAGTTCGAAGCGACCACGACGAGTTGCCAAGTCACCGCCGAACTCAAATTCCTGCCAAACGCACGCTGACCGTGGGAGGGTGATTCTACGCTGCGTGAGTCCGCGCGTCTTGTGGCTTCTTTCGAGCCATGAGGTTATTTATATACGTGGTTAATAAAAGTAGTATATCTTTACTTACTATCTTTTCCTGCCGCGGCCCCTCACTACGCGCGAGGGCACCAGGCTTGTTAGGGCGCCTACACACAGGACACTCTACCCACACCTACTCATTCACGCCCCCAGGTGCCACAGACACTCGTGCTAGCGAGACTCCACCCTACCTAGCTACTAAGTTACACCTGCGGTTACCTCGGTCCCTTAAGTGCCGGTGCCTTTTAGGACCTGGGTAACACGACAGTTTGGGAGCAAAAACTGATCTTTTGACAGCTTGACACGCCTTTTATATGCTTGCCAGGCGTTCGAGAATGTTCTAGTCTTCTTTCTGATTTCGAATTTCAAAGACCTTGAGGTTTGTCAGTGGCCAGTTTTCTTGCAAGTTGCCAGTGTAGATGGTGGAGGTTTGTCGCCCTGATGATGTAGTGGTTTGTCCAGGCGACGAGGGCATTCCTGTGGCTTCAGAGGGCTCGGAGGTCTCGTTTCCAGGAGAAGTGAAAGAGTGGCACAGAATGGCACGAGATAAATTTAGAATCGGTCTGAATCAATGGTCAGAAATTAGAAAGAGGTAGTGGGCTTTTAGTATAATAACTTTTTAATAGAGAACTACGCGGCGCTATGAGATAGCCGTCAAAGTTGAGAGGTTGACATAGATTGACATTTTGTCACTATGTAAATAAACATGCCATGGAATGTACATGCAAAGAAAATATCAATATTATTTCGGAAGATTTATAATAAAAGGTAAATAGTATAGGGTGCAACGCTATAAGGTAACCGCAAAAAATATTTTCATTTAGATTTGAGAGATAAGGTACCTATTGAGAGGTAAGGTACCTACTTCTCTCAATACCTCATCTCTCAAAAAAGGTTTCTTCAAAGAACATTAAAAACGCTACAAATAAGTTATGAACGTATAGAAGAACCAAATATCTAATCGATACGTCATCCCAAGCCAGTCTCTGTCGAAGAATTGTTCAAAGTTTTCATTCGTAGGGCAAACATTGCAGTTGGGGAGGAGACTGGAATCACCAGAACAATGCAATGCACTGGGCAACATTTGGGTAGTTGCATAATGTTTTGGAATATTTTAACTACAAAATAACTTTGCAAAATAATATATTTTCGCACGAATTGTCTAATGTCTGCAATCTTTACAAATATTTTTCATATATGCAAAAAAGACAAAAAATAATAGCTTTTTAGAGTTCCGTGTTCTTATCATGCTGTAAAAAATGGGCATTCTAGGCTGCACGTCTGAACCGTATAGTGCATATGCGCGCGTGCGATGCACGCGATATAGCGAACATACGCAGTAAATCACCCAAAGGACGTGAGAGACAAATTCTTGGGTGCAAAAGGCATAAAAATTACTAGCTGTTCGTTTTGTACTAAGTATTATCAGCAGTACATCAAGCCTACCCTTAAAGGGATCCATCTATACTGGTATAACGTATAACATGTATAAATAACCAACTTAAGTTAGTCCCATGAAGGGGTATATTGAAATAGCCTAGTGTGTGTCTCTGCTAATCGATCTCCAGGCGATGTCCTTATTTTATACCCAATTGGACCCCACGTCAGAAAAGATTGAATCCCCAAATTCTTTGTTGCTTAGAACTTAGGTGTAAGTAGATATCTGGATGACTTTTAGAGGCGGTAGATACTATATGACAAGGGTTGCTTATAGTATTTTAAAATGTTGTACTATTGTGGGCGGCTGTTTATAATGTTTACACTGAAGATAATACATTACATGGTTAAAACAACCGAACAGGTCATGGCCCGTACGGAGTCTCATTATAATCACTGTTCACTACCATATTTTGAAACACTTATCACTCTATTGATACGAATATAATAAAAATGTTG